GCAGCTTCCTGCAGAGCTGGAACCACCACAGAAATAGACTGGCAGCAAACAACCAAAAGGATACTTGAGGATTAGGCACTTGGGAGGGGGCTGACAGAGCTGTTAGTTTTTCCTTTCAGGACATCTCAGCTCAGTGATCCCTGGAAGAAATGAAAAAGTAAATCATTGTTTTCTTTCTTTCTATCTGTCTATCTATCTATCTCCCTTTGTCCCTCACCATCTTTCTCAGACCCTGACCCAATGACCCTAAGCTCACAGTTTTGCTAACCTAAGGGCAGCAGGGAAACAGGGCCTTGGGCAGGAATGAATTGGCTCAGGGTGTTTGCTGATGAAGGTGTTCTCTCTTCCTACTTTGATTTAGAATCAGAAAAAAGGAGATGGGACATGGAGAGTGATGATGGTGATGGGTTCTACTCCAAGTAACAGCGCTTCAAAATCTAACCCTTCAGTAGGGAATTCAACAATTATTCAGTAGGTGCCGAGATGTTTTCTGATAGAAGGGAAACAGGAAGTCCCTGTAACACCCAAAAATCTGGCCTTGATTATCAGGACTGTTGAAAACTAATTGTCCATGCTATTTTATTCATTAATTCATTCATTCAAACAACAGGAGATGAGGACACAGTTCAGATATATGTCGACACAAAGGACTCAGAAATGTGTAAAATATGATTCTCATCTTGAGATGCTGACTGACAAGTCAGCAATCCACGTATGAGCTGGAATGATATGGACTATTACATAAGTGTGTGGGAAGTCCATGGGACTTATTCTTTGGATGGTAACTCCCGGTTTCCTTGACAAGAGTGAAGTGTTCAGACATTGTCACTAGTATCGTTTGTGGGTGTTGGGTGAGGTTTCTGGCCTGCAAAATGACCTGTGATGGTCCTGTGGTGGCCTAGCTAAAGTGACTAAGAAGAATAATGGGACCCAAGAGCCAGGAGTCCCTGGTCAGAAGGTTTCCTGGCAGAGGGAAGAAATGAAGCTGCCCTTTGAGAGAAGTTGGATCTGAAAGGGAAGCAAGCTAAGATAATGTGAGGCAGAATAGTGTGCAGACCAAGAATATGAGCACTGGAGTCAGACTCCATTGCCTCCTTCTTTTAAATACCGGGGGAAACCTAGAGGTGTCTAGGGAAAAACAAACCAAAAAATAAAGGCAAAATGAACCAGAAATGCTGGAATTAAAAGCAGAGACACCAATTAGCAGTCTAGATCTTTGATATGACAGACCTGCAAATCTAGCAGTCTAGATCTGTGACGTGACAGACATTGCTTCAGCATTTACTTGACTGCACTATTGATCAAAGAGATAGGAATGGTTCAGACACAGGGAAGCTCATATCACATCGGGCAGAACGCTCTAGGAAAAAGGAGGGATTGAATGATAACTGATGGGAGGAATAATAAAGTGATTGATAACAGTGGTAATTAAGTTTATTTCACCAGTGTTTCTGCTGAATATAAATAACAGCTTTTTAATATTTTCCCATTGCATTTAATTTTTTTTTTTTTTAGGTGGAGTCTTACTCTGTCTTCAGGGCTGGAGTGCAGTGGCGCGATCTCTGCTCACTGCAACCTCCCAGGTTCAACTGATTCTCCTGCCTCAGCCTCCTGAGTAGTTGGAACTACAGGCCCGAGCCACCATGCCTGGTTAATTTTTGTATTTTTAGTAGAGATAGGGTTTCAACATGTTGGCCAGGAATTAGGTAATTATTTGGCATATGTAAATAACTTTGGTATCTTTTGGTAAGACATCATTATTGCAGCAATAGTTCTGAACATTCTAGTTCCATAAAGGTTATAGGAGTGGCCACCCTCTTCAAAGCTTGAATACGTTACAACCGTGACCAAAATATGAGTCTTTTCAAAACACTGTGGGAACATTAATTTTATACTAGGGCTTCAGCAATACATAGAGTGAACTGACAAGAGGGTGAGGATTTGGCTAATACCTATTTGTGGTGGTTTTAAGGCATGGTTCAAAGTTTTTTGACATTCCTTTCATTGAGAAGTTAGACCTATGTCCACTTACCTTGAATCTAAGCAGGCTTGTGACTCCTTTAACCAAATGAATATGGTTGAAATATGCTATGTGACTTCAAAGGCTGGGTCACAAAAGGTCATGCAGATTCCATCTGGTCCTCTTAGGAGGCTGTCTCTGGGGAAGCCAGTACCATGTAAAAAGTCTGGCTATTCTAAGACTATCATGCAAGAGAGGCCAGATGTAGGTCCTCCAGGTGACAACCCTAGAAGAGGTCCCAGCTGGCATTCAGCATCAAGAGCCAACAATCCGAGTGAGCCTTCTTGGATGTCCAGCCCAGTCAGCCTTCAGGTGACCACAGCTCCAATCAACATCTGATGACAAATGCATGAAATGAGAATTGCCCCGCTGAGTCCTTTCTGAATTTCTGACCCATAAATTTGTGAGAAAACCAAGATGGCTGTCATTCCACATCACTTAGTGTGTTGTTTCACATCACTAAGTTTTGGGGTGATTTGTTATGTAACAATAGGACATCCACTGATTTTCTGTCATCAGCAACTTACCTTCTTCCTTCTAAAGTTGTTGGCTCTGCTGAGGTGCCAATAGCCACTAGATAGCTTTCTTAGTCCCCGCAAAATTCACCGCTTTCATGCCTTAATGTTTTTCCAAGGCTAGGTTTACCTCACCTACATTGACACTCATGACACACAGGGTATAAGAATCCAACTGAATGCAGAGCAAGGAAAATGTCAGCCTGCAACATGCTCAATCGATGTCTGCTCCAAGTAAAAAGAAACTTCATCTGTTCCCATTGTACCTACAATGCTTAGAGTGGCACCTGGCATTGGAGATACACTCATTATTGGCAGAAAAGCTGAGTGTTAGGAGAGAAGCTGAGGCAGGGCTTGGAATATGTCTGGGGTCCAGGGTCTAAAACCCGTCATGGCCTCTGGACTGTGTCTAGGCTTGCTGGCTCCTTGCTTCTAGCACTCCCATTATCTCAAGTAGCCATATGTTTCAAAGAAAATGCTAACCATCACAGCTGTAGCTCATTCGCTTGATACATAGCTTCCTTTCAACCCCCACATCCTCACCACCTGTTTCTTTGTTTGATCACCAATAAATAGTGTGGGCTCCCAGAGCTCATGGCCTTTGCAGCCTCCACACTAGCATTGGCCCCCTTGTCCCACTTTCTCTCTTAACTTGTCTTTTCTCATTCCTTTGACTCCACTGGATTTCGTAGCCACCGCCCCCCTCAGGCTGGTGTTGGGTCTGATCACCCCAACACTCATCAAATGTTTGTGCAATCACAGTCTCTATGCACCCTGAAATGCACACAATTCCTATGAATTTTAGGCCAACTAGCTTCATCAATGCTTGAGGCTTTGCGTGTACAACATAGCTTAGTGTGGGACTCAGGTATTCCCATAAGGAGCTTGCCCATCCTTTTTCTTTTTTATCCATTATGTGTTTTAATTCTGACTTTTAAAGAGTACTTCCCAAGCATGTCTTAAGTGTACCAGGGCAAGAAGCCTATTACATTGATTCAAGTCTACCCAATTGTAAGTTTCATATCTCTGTTCACTTTCTCAGAGAACCCTTCTCAGCCGGTTAAGTGATTTGACTAGCAGAGCGATTTGACTTCAACTTTCAGTCATGGTTGCTTTTGACACTTTTCATTCCAGTTTTTTAAGAAATAATGTGTCCAAGTATATTGGAGCAAAACTGATTTCCAGTTTGCCACTTTTTAAAAATGAAATTTTAAAGAAAGTATTATAATCAGTTGAATTTCCAAAGTATCATATAGGTCTTATTCTCTGTCTAAAATGTCCATGCCCAACCTCTGATTTCCCTCAAAACTTTCTACTTTGACTTAGCCACAGCTATATGATTTATTTTCATCTTTCTGAAGTCATCTCGAGAACCATCACGGCTTGGGTTAAACAGTCCCCTGTTTTGCAATATTGTTTCCAAAATCCAGCTATCAAAATGAAACAGCACTGATGATTCACATCAATCACTTTGGTTTGAGTAGAGATAAAACACTGCCATATTCCAATGTTGGGACAGGACCTCCCCAATTAGAGTCCAACTATAATATGGCTGTGTCTCATTATTGTTGAGTTCAAAAAGTAACACATGACAGAAAATAATAATAATAATGAGTTCAATTCTATCTCAAATCTCTTAAAAGAAATTTACAGATATGTAATCTGTACCCCCAGAAACATTAATCCTGTCTCTTTTTTCTGTTTTCTCAGAGCACAGAGCCTCTCATTAGCATTCCCATCAGAGAAAACTTCAATTCTAGTTGCTTCAGAATTTACTAACTTCAGCTCACCTCCCTCCCTAAAGTCCATTATGTGCAGCTTGATTTGATCTTCATCCTTCAGACCTTTCTTTCTGCCTTCACACCCTCTATCCTCTTTGGTCTCATTCTTGTCGATTTTCTGATTCTCTACACCACCCTCAACAGAAACTGTGGGCTCCAAGATCAAATCACTCCTCCCACGGTATCACACAAGAAAAGTCAGGCCTTTTCTAAGAGATTTTCATCAACCTCTCTCAACACCTCCCCTTTCTCCTACACTTCTATCCTCATATCTCCCACAGGGACCCCCTGCATGAAGAAAAATCTGGCTCATTAATTTTCCACCCACAAGCTGGTATTATTCTGGATGCAGGGTGTGCTAGACCTTCAGGAGTTGAGGGAGGGGATACCCTCTGAGCAGCCTTCTGTGTAGCAGAGTGAAAGACAAGTGAGATGCAGGTGCTGTTCAGAAGCTTTATTTCTCTGTATAATCAGACACAAGTGATAACATTGTCAGGAGAAAAGGAGGCTTCCACAATCTAGGAAAACACATGGGTGGAGTCTTTTGGAAAAAGCATAATCCTTCCCCATGAATGAATGATTAATTAGGATGTCTAAGAAAGGATCTGTCAAGTTAGGACTTTTCCTTGGTCCTTGAGATACTTGTTTCCTCTAAAGTCACTTGTCTCCACATCAGGAATTAGGTCAGCAGCAGCCTCCAGAGCCATAGCCACAGCTGGAGGCACCATCTTGCCGACCACAACCCCTGTCACAGGAGTTGGAGCTCTGGCGCCGGCATCGGTGGGACCTACCATGCCTGTGGTGGCTCAGGCAGCAGCCGCCCTCAGAGCTGGGGCCACCGCAGCCCCCAGGGCTTGGAGCACAGCAGGAGGAGGCTGGAGGCAGACACTGTGCTGAGCTCTTTGGGGGGCATTTGGGTGAGGGGCACTTGGGCGGAGACTGGCACTGCTGCTGGTTCTGCTGGCAGGACATCTTGGCAGGAGGTGAGAGCCTGGATAGATAAAAGGAAAAGCTCAACGCAAAAGCTCCAGGCTAGTGTCTCCTCTACGAATGGTTTTATGAAGTCCTAAGACCAGTTGCTTCCTGAGATATACACTTCATAAATAAAAACAGAAACTCGTCTCAAGTAAAACTGGCCTGGTAAGACGTTTCCTTCTACTTTTCCCTCTTCCAGAAAAGAATACTGGTGTCTTCTAACTGGGCCCCAAGTCCTTCTGTCTTCATAGAAACACTGGTGCAAAAACACCAAATTGAGTAATGATTCTCAGAGAATATCACTGGACATGTATGCATCTCTTAGGAAGAGTAGAGAGAATGCTGAGAGCCAGGCCTCTGGTGTGTCACAGACTTCCATGCACCCCAAAGAGGTTCCTTGCTCACTGCCCCTTCCCCTACCCTCAATTGCCCTCTGAAGTCCTCTTCCTGCTGTGTGTACATCTGTGTACATCTGACACCTCTTCTTCCCCCTTCCCTAGTAAAATCTGGACTTATCTTCCCCAGACATCCCCAGCTGTGGGTCCCCTCTAGATACTTACCCGGTACAGAAGATACTAAGGAGGAGAAGGCTGTTCTTTAGGAGGCTGTGGATGAGGAGCCCAAAATAAGAGCCTTTTTATCTTGTGCAGGGTTACTGATGCACAGCCCAGGCATGCTGCTTTCACAACAAGGGGAGGTGGCAGAGCCAAACACTCCCATCCCAGGCATCCAGCATCTTCCTTCACGCTTGCCAAGATGCCTGTCAAGAGGAAACCAGGAAGTCTTGATGACAGATCTCCACGTGTGTTGGGGACCTGTCATTTCTTCTCCTTTCACTCATTCAGTTCAGATGTTTTAGTCTGAGCTCTGTCCCTTGCATTTTGCAGTGAGAATGTATAGATGCATATGACACATTTCCTGACCTTGAGCCTTTCAAAGTTAACTGGACTTATATCAGAGATGAAAACATATGTGTCTGATATGGTATCATGTGGTGCGTCCTGGGATACAAACATCTTTTTTTTGGACATCAGTTCTCTATTCCCCAGGGGTGTGGTTTGTTGAGATATAATTGGCTCCTGACTCTTGGGGATGTTGGGTGATCTGAGACCACTGGACCCTGGGAGTGAGATGTATTAGGTAATGAATGGAGGATGGGACCCAGACCCTGTCTGGGGCAGTTGGAGCCCAAAAGAGAATTAAGGTAGGATTATATGAATAAGCAAATGAAATCATTAAGGAACGTGCAACAGTTGAGATCACAAGACTCATACTTAATATGAAAAACGTAGGTTGGCCCATATGTAGCTTCCCATGGGATGTATGATACTGATGGTAAGCAAATAAAATGGTCCATGAGCAAAAATATATAAGATAATTGGTGAGAGTCATGAAGATGATTTGTTCAATGAATTGCGGATGATGAGGTTAGTGATGGTAGTGACATCATGTGCATCACATTTAATGGAACAAACCTCATACATTCTAAGGTTTCTGTAGGATGAAATATAAAGTCTGATTCTTATTTTTCCCATTCAATTTTGTAATAGTTTTAGACATGAATTTTTCACTGAATTCATCTCTATTATCATAATACCTGTACTTTGCTATTTGTTTCTAAAAAATTAAAGTCAGAAGTATAACAGAACATTGTATTTAAGTTAAATGGCAATTTTAAATAATACATGTTTATGGTAAATGCCTGTTATTGTTCCCTGTACTTGATAGTTTATGGCTTTTAGACAACAAACTCCCTATCAGAGCATGCACTTTACAACTTACCCTCTTTAAAACATGGTGGGAGGTCGGGGGCAGAATTCCATGATTTATTTTGAGATATTTAAGAGAGAGTGAATTGTCTCTAGGAATGTGGCTTGGGAATGGAGGAGGAGGAATAGGATTGATTCTCCTTTCTGATATTCTTCTGTCTGCAGAGGCCTCTTGCTGAAGGGATATTTTTGGGCTTAGCTCCAGGGCTACACTAGGTGTCCATTTCTTTTACATTCTTTAGAATCCACCAATTGCTAGTGCATTGGAAGGAATTACTCATGATGGTTGCAATGGGTGCTTTCTCATTCCTTACTGGTGAAGCTGAAGAGGGGCACAATCTTTTGAAAAATTCAGTTAAAAAGTTACTGGGGTTTAGACTTTGCTGCAAATCTGAACATTCATTTCTCTGTATCTTGTGTTTATCATAAGCAAGGCTTGTCCTCCCAACAGAGAAAGCATGATAGCCATTTTCCTGCATGGGTTGCAACCCTGAGTCATTGGCAGCTGGGAGAGGTAGGAGGTGGAAGCATTAACTGAGAAAGAAACATAAATCACACATTTTGGGCAAGTTTCAAAGGAACAAAGCATCCTTGCCAATGACATTCAATGTATCGTGTTACCTCTGTTTTATAAAACACAGTGGATGACAGTTAGGCTTTCCTCCAGCCCCATTCTTGACTGCCTGTCTTGAAAGCCTCCCGACAAGACCTGGAGAGCGCATTAATCTCCCTTCTACTGTAGTGATTCCTCTTGTCACTCACTGTCCTCCTTCTGAGATCAGGTGTCCACAGTCCTCACACGCACAGGATTTGTCCTGTGCTGACAAACAGTAGCTATAAGATCATGATCTGGTCACTTCCCCTACAGCACAAGGCCACCTCCCTGAGAATGACAAGTCCCAGGAGTCCCATCCTGAGGAGCCTTGGCTTCCTGTGGTCCAAAGACAGCAAGGAAATACAGAGACTGCTCTGGCTGGATGAATCCAGGAAGAATTTCATGACTTAGTCATTCCAACTGGTACTATGGGAACAGGCACTGCAGGACCTCAGGTTTAGCTCCTTGGAGTACATTTTGGACATTCCACATCAGCAATTAAGGATGAGTAAACAAACAGAATTATTCTCCCTTTGCTTACAACTCACAGTTCCTTCTCCATTCTCTTCCTGCTATGACTGTGACTATTACATTCCATGGCAAGCAGCTAAGTCATTCTTAAGGAAAATGGGAAGCAGTAGCCAGAAAGTGCCACATATCTCTAATATACCTAAGTTTCTTATATGGATTTGAATTTTCCCCTCAGATTAAGTGGTATTTTGAGATATTTACACCTCTCTCTATTTTTCTGAGAAAGCTCTGGTAGGACCCAGTGTGTAAGAAGATGTTGGACTCAGATTTTCTTCTTGTATTAGGATGTTGCCTGAAGTCAAAAGATGAAAATAATAGATGCCTCTTATCCCCATATACTAAAGTAACCTTAGGATAAGCTGCTGAAAATCTCTGCAGGACTTGCTAATTAAAAAAAAATGGAACTCTATTTCTCTGGTTCAGCTATATATTTGGAAGGCTGAACTTTGGTGAGAATTTTTTAGATAGGGAAGTTATTGTCCTGAAAGACAATGTTGTAGTCTCCCCCTAATCTTGTATGGGGGAGGGAAACTGGTTGTCCTCCTACAACAGAGGTCAATTGAAAGGTCAGGATTCACAATGACAGCTTGTAGATGTTAGAGATTCCTTCAAGAAATCTTTATTCCTTTATCCCTCAGCAGAATGTCTGCTATGGTAGTACACTTGATGTTCTAACCTCTGAGCCTATTGTTGACTAATGAAAAGGAACTGAAGAGTTAGAACAGGACGTTGAGACATAACAGCAGATGACATCTAAGAAGGAAGACCAGCTTCCACAGTCTTGCTAGTATTGTGCTTAGGATGGTTTTCTGTTGGGCAGAGAGACCTCATTATTGAGAAGCTATGGCTGGTGACAATGAAGGTAGGAGCTTAGGCAGTACCTGAAGGGTTAAATGTGACTGCTTATCCCATGTCTGGAAATCATGCTGTGAGGAAAATCCTTGAAGATGCTCCAGAAGCACTCACAAAAGCACCCTATAAGACCGCCCTCCTGCAGAACCTGCCAATAGAGGAAGCTAGTGGTACAGTCACATATATACTGATTTCCCCTCCCCTTTTCCATCTCCCAATACAAAGGAGGAGGAAGGGGTACTCAGGAAAAAGATGGAGAGGTGGTAGTGAATGAGAGAAAGAGCCCATCATATTCCCCTTCCAACTCCAGCCTCCTGGGAGATACCTGGGCAATGCTTGTGTGCAAGGGAGAATTTGAGTTTCAAGTTTTGTTCAGAATTAAATTTAGCTGGTCTGGACTTTAATATCCATAGAAGTGACTGACGAAATGTGAAATTTCCCTGAGGTATTTTCAAGAGAGATTCAACACAGCATAGGAAAAAACAATGACCAGAAAAGACAATGCTTCCTGTTTTTGTTGTACTGACTTTAGACTGTTCAATACACAAGTTCGTAGGCTCTTGGGTTTTTATAAGAAGGGGGCAGTTTTGGATGCTCCCACCCTTTCTAGCATCAATCAAATCAATAAATGCCAAGATTCCAGGTCCCCAAGGGCAAACGAGAAGCAAGTTCAGGAATGTTGGGTGGAAGCTTCATAATGACCACACAAAGGTACTGTAAAGGCAATTGGAAGTAGAAACTGGGTAGTTACTGGAGATGTGATGGGGTTTGGAAGGTCAGGGAGGAAGTCTTTCAGGAATAGGAGTATCTTGGAAGATCAAGAGGGAGGACAGGGAGCTGGGTGTTGGATGGTGAGAATATTCATGTGCTACTTACCTGTAGTCCATGGGGAAAAAGGAAAACCCTCTGGGAGGCAATAGAAGACCCTGACCAATATGACCCTTGCCAAATTCCTTTTCCTCAACAACTTCCATCTCTTTTGCCAATTCTTTGCTACAATTATCTTTTACCATGTTTTCTCTCAATATTCTGCCTATCCTGAATGTAGGGAGAGGATTGGACACACTAGAGGCATAAAGGATCTGTGCTAGGTCCCAGGCGGCTGCATCACTTTAGTGACAGATACTGTGTGCTCAATGAATATACTTTGACTCTGAGGGAGGTCTCATCTCCAGGGGGCTTGGAATGGACACAGGTTTGTTCATTGTGGAATGCAAAACTTCAGCAGAGTGGTTAGGGAAAAAGTGAAT